CACACCTACACACACACACACCACACACACCCACACACACACACACACTCACACACACCTACACACAACACCACACCTACACACACTCACACACACCTACACACACACACACCCCACACACACACACACACCTACACACACACTACACACACACCTACACACACAACCACACACACACACCTACCCCTACACACCTACACACACACACCTACACACACACCCACACACACACACCTACACACAACACCCCACCACACACACCCACAAAACCCACACACACCTACACACACACAACACCTACCTACACCACACACACCTACACACACACACACACCCCTACACACACACACCACCCACACACACACACACACCACCCTACACACACACACACACCAACCTACACACACTACCAACACACACACACACACCTACCTACAAAACACAACACCTACCTACACACACACCTACCTACACACACACACCTACCTACACACACCTACTACACACACCACACACCACTACACAACACACCTACCTACACACACACTACACACACACCTACACACACACCACACACACACCTACACACACCACACCTACACACACACACCTACACACACACACCTACACACACACACACACACACACACACACCTACAACACACACACCTACACCCCACACACCTACACACACCACACACACACCTACACACACACACCTACACACACACACCTACACACACACACCTACACACACACACACACCTGTAAAGTAAAAGCACACAAGTGCAATTAATGTGACATTTATTGTGGCAACGTTTCGCTCTCCAGGAGCTTTCTCAAGCCATTGCAAACAATACATGGACACAGAGGGTATATAAAGGCTCAGAGTGAGGTGTAATACTAGTGAGGTAACATTTCGATGTTCAGTGGTGGTAGTAGTAGTAGTAGTGACAAAAGTAATACAATGTGATAGAGCAATTAATTCGTACATGAGTAAAAGGATATAAAAGCTATTACTTGGGTAACATAAAAATAGGTTGGACAAATATAGACTGAAAAGAGGCAGCTTGTTTGTGTTCACTCTCTGTAATGTGCTTTGTGTAGTATAACAGGAGAGACTATGTGATGGCAGGGTTTACTGTTTTCAGGAGGATTCTTGCTAAGACTTCGGAGATGGTGAAGCTGCCGTTGTTTTGTTTAATTGTATTCGAAACGGCGATCATTGCTGATTCGAGGCACTTGCGTCTGCGGAAATTAGTTTCTTTGATCACTAATTGGGCGTCTCTGAATTTCATGAGATGATTTGTGGAATTTCGGTGTTGTACGCTGGCGTTGTTCAAGTTATCGTTCCTACATGCATAAATGTGTTCATTGAGGCGGGTGTCGAGGTTTCTTACTGTTTCACCTACGTAAATCTTGTCACAGCCTCCACAGGGTATAGTGTAAACTCCTGCATTGACTGGTTCGTGGTGCTTGGATTTTGTCCTGGTTAGATCCTTTATTGAAGTGCTAGAAGCGATGGCGACTCTGGTGTTAGCTAACACCAGAGTTGCCATCGCTTCTAGCACTTCAATAAAGGATCTAACCAGGACAAAACCCAAGCACCACGAACCAGTCAATGCAGGAGTTTACACTATACCCTGTGGAGGCTGTGACAAGATTTACGTAGGTGAAACAGCAAGAAACCTCGACACCCGCCTCAATGAACACATGCATGTAGGAACGATAACTTGAACAACGCCTGCGTACAACACCGAAATTCCACCAATCATCTCATGAAATTCAGAGACGCCCAATTAGTGATCAAAGAAACTAATTTCCGCAGACGCAAGTGCCTCGAATCAGCAATGATCGCCGTTTCGAATACAATTAAACAAAACAACGGCAGCTTCACCATCTCCGAAGTCTTAGCAAGAATCCTCCTGAAAACAGTAAACCCTGCCATCACATAGTCTCTCCTGTTATACTACACAAAGCACATTACAGAGAGTGAACACAAACAAGCTGCCTCTTTTCAGTCTATATTTGTCCAACCTATTTTTATGTTACCCAAGTAATAGCTTTTATATCCTTTTACTCATGTACGAATTAATTGCTCTATCATATTGTATTACTTTTGTCTTCTACTACTACTACTACTACTACTACTACTACTACTGCTACTGCTACTGCTGCTGCTACTACTACTACTACTACTACTACTACTACTACTACTACTACTACTACTACTACTACTACTACTACTACTACTACTACTACTACTACTACTACTACTACTACACATCAAAATGTTACCTCACTAGTATTACACCTCACTCTGAGCCTTTATATACCCTCTGTGTCCATGTATTGTTTGCAATGACTTGATCAAGCTCCTGGAGAGCGAAACGTTGCCACAATAAATGTCACATTAGTTGCACTTGTGTCCTTTTACTTTACATATGTCGGTAATTCTACCAACTTTATTACACTCACACCTACACACACACCTACACACACTCACACCTACACACACACATACCTACACACACATACCTACACACACACCTACACACGCACACACCTACACACACACCTTCACACACACACCTACACACACACACGCACACCTACACACACGCACACCTACGCACACCTACACACACGCACACCTACACACACGCACACCTACACACACGCACACCTACACACACCTACACACACACACACCTACACACACACACACCTACACACACCTACACACACCTACACACACCTACACACACCTACACACACACACACACACACACACACACACACACACACCACACACCACTACACACACACACACACACACCACACCTACACACACACACAACACTACACACACACACCAACACACACCTACACACACACCCTACACACACACACACCTACACACACACACCTACACACACACACCTACACACACACCTACACACACACCTACACCTACACACACACACACCTACACCTACACACACACACCACACACACACACACACACCTACACTACACACACACACACACCTACACACACACACTACACACACACACACACACACCTACACACACACACACACACACCTACACAACACACACACACACACAACACACTACACACACACACACACCTACACACACACACACCACACACACACACACACCTACACACACACACACAAAACACACCACACACACACACACACACACACCTACCACACACACCTACACACACACACACCCACACACACACCACCTACACACACACACACACACACACACACCACACCACACACACACACACCACACACACACCTACACACACACACCACCTACACAACACACACCCACCCCTACACACACACACCACACACACACCTACCTACACACACACACACCTACACACTCAACCTACACACACACACACACAACACCTACACACACACACACACCTACACACACACACACACACACACAACACCTACACACACACACACACACCACACACCACACACACACCTACCCCACACACACACACCTACACACACCACCTACACAAAACACACACCACACCTACACACACACACACACACACCTACACACACACACACACACCCTACACACACACACACACCTACACAACACACACCACACCTACACACACACACACACCTACACACACAACACACACCTACCCCACACACACACACCTACACACACACACACCTACACACACACACACACCTACACACACACACACACACCTACACACACCTACACACACACCTACACACACACCTACACACACCTACACCACACACCTACACACACCTACACACACACACCTACACACACACCTACACACCCTACACACACACACCTACCACACACACACCCACACACACACACCTACACACAACACACACACACACACACACACACACACCTACACACAACCTACACACATACACCTACACACAACACACCTACACACACCACACACACACCACACACACCACCCACACACACACACACATTCACACATTCGCACACCACATTCACACACACGTATCACCACATTCACACACACATTCACACACATTCACACACACATTCACACACACACACACACACATTCACACACACACACACACACACACACACACACACACACACACACACACACACACACACACACACACACACCACAACACACACACACAATCTATGCACTCATATACAACAAGCTTAGTTTCTAATCGACATGTGCCTAGGACGAAATGGTAACTAACACTTACACTTGCCTACATATGCATGCCAGAAACAGTGAATCGACACCTACAGTCATATATAGGTGAGTACACATAGACACACGCTCATGCTTAGGAATTCATAAATAGGTGAATTTATTTACAATCATTGTCTCAGTTCTCAGTATGATTCAGATCTGCATACTATGAGTCAGTGTATGCTGGGTTGAATCTTGCTGAGGACTGAGAGAGAATGTGTGTGTGTGTGTGTGTACTCGCCTAATTCTACTCACCTAGTTGTGGTGTGTGTGTGTTTGTGTGTAATATATCATAGCAAGTTTGACACTTGTGGTGAGACCTTCCATAGCAGTTGCAGAGTTGTTTAATGACAGGTTTTGATTTTTTTCCTGTCCCATTACTCTTATATGCATGGAAAGCCATTCATCATACCTAACTCCACATTATGGATGAAACTCTTGGCAAGTTATTTTTATATTTTATCTATTCTTGTTTGTTATAATGCAAGCTGAATCAAGTGCTGCATTAATCATCATGCAGAATTCTCTGGCAAATGCTTCAATTGCTGTTGCTGGGTCTTTGCAACTTAACACATTTGGAGATGACATTGTCAGTGTTTAGAGAGGATTTAGCATTGGCTTCCCTCTTAGAGTACCATATATGGAGCATACAATATAGAAAGTGTCTCTTGCTAGTTTATTATGCCTTTGTATGCATTTTCAGATGCAACCTGAAGGGCCATATGGCTCGCAACTGCCCAAAATGTTACATGTGTGGTGGCTTTGGGCATATTTCACGCCAATGTGAGATGGTGGCTTAGACTGGCCCGACCCACTCCTGGTCTCTCCCTCCGAAGCTGCTGCTGCTGCTGCTACTCCCTACTACCATGACCCCCCTGACATACACCATGGTTTAAACTGTGGTGCAGGGGCTGTTGAATCATAGCCTGGCTAGTCACCCTGATAGGGCTCTCCAGGCAAGAACTAGGTCACATCACGTTCTCAGCAGGAAGCAAGTCAAAGTGTGTGAAGAATTTTAAATGGAAAAATCATGTATGTAATTTTATTCAACAAAAGCCAGTGTGGTAGGAGAGATTTTAAAATGGAGCCTTTTGGCAAATATTACATGCCTTGAAAACGCATGCATAGCAAGTGATATCTTGATCCTTGTGCTCCAAAACTTTCTAAACTTATCATTGGTGAAGTATAAGGTGGATAGGAATATGTTCCTAGTACCTGATATCTGAATTACTTAATTACAGTGCATTTTTGTCTAAGTTGATTGTTTAGCTTTTATAATGGAGTAAAAACTCTCTTATCAGAGACAAGCTAAGTGATGTGGAGGAGAGGGTCAGAGGAGATGGGAGTTTACCAAAGCTCCTAATAAGGTCATTTTCAGCTTGCAAGGCAAGTATAGCCAGTAGATCCTTGCATATTGAGAAGTCTCTGAGAAAGTGCTGCAGGGGCTTCTTTGTTATTCCATATAGTCTCAACCACCTACATTGTTCATAGCTGTTCTTTGCCAAAGTGAAGTTAGTGATTAATGACAATCAGATTATATATTGTGAGATCAGGATCAAATTTCAGTGTTAAAATGGTTAACAGTTTACAGCAAGAGGAATTTTTTTAGGCTCATCTTGATTTCATTTGTCATGCAGTTTCATACTTTAAAGTGATTTCTCTGGTGTTTTTTTTTTTTTTAAAGTTGCTTTAATAATGAGCTTCTGGTTAAACAAGATGACAGTTCTTAGTTGATGTGGCAGACTTGGTGTTAGGGGTGTAGGTGTAATTTTTGCTGTACATGAATTTCCAGTTACTTTCATTTTGTGCTGGTGACCTAATCATTTTTAAAGAAAAAAGAAAAATTATAACTTTTCTGAATTATTTAGTCCTTGTGTATTGTCAATATTGGCATTCTAGTCCTCTAGGTTAACATAACAGCCATGCCAAGTAATTTATTTAATTTTTTTTTTTAAGCAATGCTGACTCGGCAGTTTGGTTTGTATGCTGATTCTAAATCAGTCACACATTGAAATTTTATGTCAAATGTAAACAGAATTATTTTGACAAGCTTAGTAGTAATTATATTAATTTTCCTCCGAGCATCAGTGTTGTAGGTGCTAGAGCCAGAAGAAAATTAGTTATTGGTGAGTGAAGTGGTCATCAGCACAAAGGTGTTGCAAAGAGAGGAGAATTGTGAACACATTCATGAAATTGTCATGGGAGTTTAAAAAAAAATAAAAAAGTAAAGTGAATTAAATAGAAATTTGTATGAAGTATAAGACGACAGTACTTGACGATGAATACGGACTGTTCCGGTATTGGTTGGCACAGTCTTTGAATAGCAGGAGAGAGAGGACTACTAAAATGCCAGAATTAGAAGTAGATGTGTACTTCACACTTTGTGATTAGTCTGTTTTGGTAGTAGGCAGGTGAAAATTAAGTTTTATGACAGTGATAACATAGGAGGGTGTATAAGAAGGTGTAAATCCTGGCCAACTTGCTCATCCCATTAGTTAAGATGTTTCATGTTATTGAGGAGGAGAAGGATGGAGATGACAGTATTTGTCAGGTGGAGGGGTGGAGTGGAAGGAAATTTTTTGGCCTCTAGTGTAGCTTTACTATTACTCATTATTTTTTCTCCTTTTTTTTTATAGTATACAGCATTCTTAATTACTGTATTTACTTATGCTCAGTTAGCATATGAGGGGAGGGAGGCTTTAAGTAAATTTACTTCATTAGTTGTGTAGGTTAGATTGTCTGGAAAGTATAAAAGTATGTGTGTGTGTGTGTGTGTGTGTGTGTGTGTGGTGTGTGTGTGTGTGTGTGTGTGTGTGTGTGTATGATTATGTATAATACATAAACATATATATACATCCTTACATATACACACCTTAAAGGGTTATTAGTTAATGAATTCTTCATATATTTTATATTTATTCCTTGTGAAAAGGATTTGCTTTCCCAGAGCCACTCTACCCTTCCTCCTGTGATTGGGGAACCACTTACCTCATGGGTTCCTTAAAAGGTCAATTTTAATGATCTTTCAACCAGTACCTGCACAGTCGCCCTTTGTTGTTGTGAAGGAGATGTGGATTTGTGCATTGACCAGCTAATGTGACCCTCTGGGGATTTAGGAAAGAAGGCTCAATTTTTACTTTGTTATATATTATCTAATATATGCCGGTATACCTTATTTGTACCCAGAAAGTAAACTCTGTATTCTTGTAGGACGCAGTTACTAGACAAGCTAAAATTGGATCTGATTTATCAGGAAGGCTAAATTTATTTATTTTTGAAAATGAGCCTTTTTGCATGTTAAACATCAGAGAGGCATATAACTGATCATTGCATATCTATATATAAAAATAAAAGTGGACTATTTTGTTACTCTTGAATATTAGCATTGTAAAGGCAGAAGAAGAAGAGCGGTTGATTAAAGTCTTCTAGTCCTTATAATTCCCACTAAAGTTATTGTTGTTCACATTTTTTACTCTGGATTTATGTGTGCATTGAAGAACTTATTGTCCTCAATGTGCCTGGCATTCAGCCTCAATAAACAGGTTCACATTGATGTGGCATGCTCTATTTTAATATCCTTTGGTGTTTCTGCAAAAGCCAAAGCCAGTCCTTTATTTGTGTGTTTCCTCATGCAGGGTAGTGATGAAGTAGATTCATATCATAAGATTTGCCATTGGCCACCTCTGGAATTTTGGGCTTTTAAAACAAACCTCCCTTCTCATTATTTTCACTATTTTTATGTGCTCATTTAACCATTGAGTGTGAAACCGTTTGCCAGTTGCTCTAAAAGAAAAAGTACAAGTTAAATCGATTGAAAAGTACTTCGTGTATGAATAATTGACAAAAATATAAACATATTTGAAGGAGAAAATAAAACAGAAATGGACAGATACTGAAATATCAAATTTGAGGTGTAGTTCACTATTAAGGTACTGTTGAAACTTGTAGGATGACTGTTGGTACAAGGTGATTGTCTTATTCCTGTCATATTTTCTCTATTCAGTTCCAGCCTAGTGGCCGAAGCTTATTTCGTTTATAGTCTGTTGGTTACAATGATGACAGGATGGATTGTCTATCTTTCATGGTGAGTGCATGCTGTTGGAATGTGGACAAGGAAACTATCATGAAGAAATTCAGGAAAAACATCTGGAGCTGGGAAGGGCAGTGCCTGCACTTTAAAGGAGGGCTGGGGATGTTCCAGTTGAATAGCATTCTGATTGTAATGTTGATACACTAATGGCAAAATGGCAGTTGAGTGTCAGTTTTTTTTTCTTTGGATCACCCTGCCTTGGAGGAAGACTCTTGTTAAAAAAAAAACTACTGTGTATACATACATTTTTATGCTTAATATACAATGTATATTAAATTCTTGGCTACTATGAAACGTATCGTAAATATTTCTCTTTCGTTTTGCTATGTACATAGTAGTGGCTTTGCTCTTTGTCCCCTTGACTCTAGTCTCTTCCAGTCATTTCTTGATGCACTTAACACTCTTGCTACTGCCATCAGTCTCACAGTTGAATGGGAATCTAACATTTTGCTTCCTTTCCTGGATGTACATGTCCATCACTCAGCACAAGGCATTTCTTTTTCCATTTATTGCAAGCGAATGCACAGTGGCATGTACTGGTTTTCTTGCCATGCTCTCTCTGTCAGGAAAAGTGTTCTTGTTTCTCTTTCTCTGTGGGCCTCCACATCTGTGACCCTCGGTTTCTTGACTCGGAATTTCCATTCTTCACAGTTTCTCTCATCTTGGCTACCCTTCCGATTTCATGAACTGCCTTCTCACTTGCTAAACACTTTCTCCTCTCCCAAGCGCTCTAATCCTATAAAATCCCCTGGTTTTTTGCCATCCCTGCGTTTCCCGTCTCCTAAATTGTAACAACTCCTTTCGTCCTTGAGACGTCAGACTTACTTTTCACTAAACTAATACCCTTCATAATAACCTAGTATACACCTCTCCTTCAACCACTGACTCTCCCCAAGCCTAGTCCATTTCTTGCTCCTCTTGTTCTCTCCAATACTTTGGAGAAACTGGCCACTCTTTCTGACAGAATGAAAGAGCACAAAGGAGTGCTAGCCTTGCTGACACTAACAGTGCTTTTTTCTGTTGTGCTAAAGATTATTGTCATCCTTTTAACTGGTCCTCTACCAAAAAAGTCTACCCATTTAGTTTCACAGATGCCATCTTGTTGAAGCATCCCTTATACACAGCATTCCTATTATAAATTTAAGTCCTGGCATTGTCTCTGTAGATACCATCTTTTTCATTACATATCAATTGCTCCAAACTTCAGAACACTCTTGACTTGATCTTTACCTATTCTTCTCCTTACCTCGTCAGCTTTCCTGTATCTTCACTGCCTTTCCTGACTTCTACATAGGTGGGTTCTGTTCTTTGGGGGTTTTGCCCCATGGGATTTTCTTCTACCCCTTTGGGTCATTTGCTCTCCTGCAGTGCTCCTCTGTTGTCTTATTCTTATAGACTACTTCAACTTTCTTCTTTCTGTCAACACACTGGCTGTATCCCACCAAGGATAGGGGTGGCCCAAAAGGAAAAACGAAAGTTTCTCCTCTTACATTTAGTAATATATACAGGAGAAGGGGTTACTAGCCCCTTGCTCCCGGCATTTTAGTTGCCTCTTACAACACGCATGGCGTACGGAGGAAGAATTCTGTTCCACTTCCCCATGGAGATAAGAGGAAATAAACAGAAACAAGAACTAGAAAGAAAATAGAAGAAAACCCAGAGGGGTATGTATATATACGCTTGTACATGTATGTGTAGTGTGACCTAAGTGTAAGTAGAAGTAGCAAGACGTACCTGAAATCTTGCATGTTCATGAGACAGAAAAAAGGACACAAGCAATCCTACCATCATGTAAAACAATTACAGGCTTTCGACACTCGCTTGGCAGGACGGTAGTACCTCCCTGGGCAGTTGCTGTCTACCAACCTACTATCTAACTACTACAACGATTACTACAAAAATTTCTTCACTAATACTTCACTCTTTGCCCCTTTTTTCACTACTACTGCTGCCTTTTTATTTACACCTTTACCTTGTTTCACTGCTGATGATCAGCAGCAGCAGCACCACCACCACCACCACCACCACCACCACCACCACCACCACCAGAGGATTTCTATAAAATATGTTAGTACCATCACATTTTCTATACCAGTTAACCATTCTTTCTAGAAATAGTTTATATTACTGCTACTGTTGCTGCATGCCACTTCCACTCCACCTATTATTACTACAATACTACTACTATTTTTCTTCCCCCTCATATATATTCTGGCTCCCTTCCCTTAGCACTTCTCTGTGTGACTGGTTATTTGTCCAAGTCGGACTGAAATAACATCATTAGTTTGTGTCCTACTTGTGGGTTATTTGTATGACGATATCATTTTACAGGAAAAGCAAAAATTAAAATATCCATAACTATCTTAGACTGGAATAATGTTTTCAAGGTTATTCTTCAACCCAAAATGACAGGAAATATCGGTAAAATTGTCTGTTGTTTTCACTTCTTCCCTTTGAAGCTGATATGTACTTCATTAAATTAAGAGATTACCAAGCACATTTGTTTTAATATTTATTTTCATTGTGTTCTTGTTCATGCAGACAGTTTATTTTTGTTGCATAATCTTAACTTGGGCATTTTAACTAGTCACAGGTAAAACCTTTTTCTTGCCAAGAGCAGTGCTTTATGAATCAATATTTCCTATATTTTTTTACCTATTTTCATATACAGTACATACCATCATTCAACATAGTACAACATATTTTAGTCTTGTACTCTAGTGAGTCGCATAGCCACATACTATTGAGAAGCACCAAGCAGAACTTAAAAAAAATCAGTTTGGTAAATATTTGATAAAAATGTAACCTCGGTTGCATAATTATTTTTAAGACTTGTTTTGCTACTGTAAAAAGGATTGTATATACATTACCAAGCACCTTTTTAACCCTTTGAGGGTTTCGGCCGTACTAGTACGGCTTACGACCCAGGGTTTTTGACGTACTAGTACGCCTAAATTCTAGCGCCCTCAAATCTAATGAGAGAAAGCTGGTAGGCCTACATATGAAAGAATGGGTTTATGTGATCGGTGTGCACAGTATAAAACAAATCCTGCAGCACACATTGCATAATAAGAAGAAAAAACTTTGACCGTTTTTTTTTTTTTTTTTTTTTTTTTTTTTTTTAATAAAACAGCGACTTTGCACTGTATTTTCGTATGGTATTTATTGTTGTATTCTAGTTTTCTTGGTCTCAATTTATAGAATGGATGACATATTACAGAAATTGAGATGATTTTGACTGGTTTTACAATGAAAAGTACCTTGAAATTGAGCTCAAAGTAGCAGAAATGTTCGATTTTTACCAAAGTTCAAAAGTAAACAAATCATGCCAAGTGTCCAATACACGTCGACTGGCGAGTCTAATATTATTTCGCAAGTGCACCAATATTATTTATACCATTTTTTACACTAATGCAGTAGTCTGCATAACAGTAAATCTTCTATTTTTTGTGAGAATAAAAATTCAAAATGGAAAGCAAAAGAATGTAAGAGGGGCCTTGAGACGTGACTAATGAACAGAGGAAATGCCATTTTAGTGCTAGGAATGTGTTTCTTGTTTATTCTGGACCCTATTCGGAAATTGGCATCTTTTGAAATTTGTGTGAAATTGGCAAAATTGCTATATTCTGACCACTGTACTGGATATTTGAAATTGGTAAATGGGTGGTTTCTTGCACTCATTCGATAGAAAAAATGGAGTTCTAGCAAAATACAGTGGACCCTCGACCAACGATGGCATCGTATAACGTTAAATCCGACTAGCGATACATTTTAACACTAACATTTTGCTTCGGCTAACGCTAAAAAAAACTTGACTAACGATATTCGTTCTCGGGTACCAATTAATATCATTAGTCAAGGGTCCACTGTATTCATGTTTTTTGTCGACTAGTACAGTGGAATTGGCCGAAAATGGGGCTCAAAGTGGGCAAAATCGCCGATGTGTAAACATCGCCGAGGTCGCTAACTTCTCGAGAGCATAATTCCATAAGTTTTCCATTAAATTTCATACTTTTGGTGTCGTTATGATCGGGAAAAGATTCTTTATCTTTTCATGAGAAAAAATTTGGCCGACCCTGAGAATGAGTCTCGGGGAGGACCTGTCGACCCTCAAAGGGTTAATGCTGGTTAGTTACAGTTGGCTATTTGCTCTAAAAAAAAAAAAAAATGCAATTAAATTTGTGCTTATGCTGTATAGTTATGTACCTACAGTTTGGTTTTGGTCTGTTTCTAATAGCCATATGATGTATTGGGCTATAAGAATTGCTTAGTTTTAGATGATTTACATTAGTAGGGAAAATAACATTTTGGAAAAGACTCAAATTCTGTAACTATTCCTAAATTTGGGATGGAGTTTAAAATTTAGGAGACCCCAGTAGTGGAATTGATATACTGCACCAAAGTTTTCCAGCAAAATTGGTCATTAACTTTAAAATCAAAATACTGTAGCTCTTAAAATTTGT